CTTTCTCCACCATGATAAAAGTAAAGGCTGATCTATCGTTATACATTTTATTTTTTTGAAATAACGCTATCGTTAAAGAATTATTATATTGCATTTTAAATCAGAGGGTTGAATATTCGTGATATATTTATATGAAAAGGATCAATAAAATTCAGATAGTTTCTATTAATTTTGGTTTTTGCAAGCTTTCGAGCAAATTTTCTGCTCGTCAACGGGCAAATACTTATAAAGACGATCTTTATACAAGAAACATATTTTTGTAGAAGAACAGGAAATTTACTCGAAAGCTTTCAAAACCCAAATTTAAAAGAAACTCTACCTGAATTCTATTCTTCCTTTTTTAACGACATATACCACATTGTATATACGATTACATACCCACGCGATTTAGTTTAAATCAAAGAAAAACCTTGATAAAGAGAGACGTTTTCCCCTAGAAATATTGGTTGAATAATAAATTTAAATCCAATATATGCTTTATATTTATTTATATATATTATTATGGATTTCTCAAACTTTGAAATATATATATATTTAATTAAAAAGGCATATATTGAATCAAAATATCATATATTTTACCAATATTTCAGTTGGCTTAACGCCAACCTTTATCAAGGTGGTATAACATTTTTAAAGTGTGTCAACAACAAACCCAGCGCCACATAACGTCAACAGCATTATGTTTTTAAAAATATTTTGTTATATTCAATGGGGAGAAAAAATTGATAAATATATTTATATTATGGACAAAATAATTTTTTTTTAAATATAGGTGATGATATATATATATATATCATATAGCATAAGGTACTTGGGATCGACTTATGGAGATCTAAGATTCCCTTTTTAAATTTAAAATATATTTAAAGATATGCTATGTATAAGTTGTGTACCTAATAGATATAGATTTATATATAAAATATTGTGAGATATTTGTACTTTTTCGTTTAATTACAATATTAATTATTTATTTTTAAAAATATATCCTTTAATGAGAGATTAATATTTGTTTATGATTTGTGATTTAGATGTTGTACTAAAATTGAAAGCTCGCATGAAAATGCCCTTACATCCTCAGACACATTTATAACGGTTTACCAAAATACCTTTTTTTTTCATTTGTCTTTAAAAGGACAGAATATTTTTGTCGAATCGTCGAAAAAATAAAACATTCTTCATCAGCATTATTGAAATATTTTCTATGCTATATATCTGCATTTTAAATTTATTTTGCTTATCCCCAGTACACGTGGTACAGGCCATGATAACCATGGTGGGTAGAAGTAGGCGACTGCTTTTACTGTAAGTGCACCACATGTAAACACATGTGAAAAGCAGTTCGACTTTGCACTTACAAATGTGCCAGAGCCCCGTTTGCTTACTTGCACTTGATGGTGAGATTGGACATTTGCAAGAATCGGGGGCCATTGGAGCATTTTCTCTTTTTTTTTTATCAGAAAAAAGTGTCCAATACGGGAATCGAACCCGGGTCGTAGTGGTCGAAAACCAAACGGTTTAACCAGCCTTCCAAGGGACTGATTTGTAGGGTGAAGTACAGTGAGGACTTCGTGAGCCCCGAGCCGCTACGGTAACCGTGAACAGGGGACTCTGCAGTTCTAAGCAGAATCGTCCAATACAGTATTAGAGCTCTGAGAAGCGGTCTGGTGGATTAAATTAGCGAAACCGCTGGGAGGGTTCACCACTGATGAGTCAGGCCCTCCCAATACATTTTTCATCGCAGTAAGGACAGTATAAGTTTGTATTATGTATAAAAGAAACATTCGTGCTTTTAAATTCTTTCATTTTATATGTATAGATGGCGCCTTATTACCTTGTGTTAACTCTGAAATGTGGCTTACTAACGGGGCAATGGCACCCCCCATTCTATGGAGCAACAAAATCAGAGAAAAGGGTAAATGATATTGATGGCAATATAGATACTTTTTTTGAAATATGTGATCATAAAATATAGGAGCAATAATGGAGTTTGATCGATAGGAAAAGCTTAAGCCAATAAAGATGGAAGATCCAATTTAGTAAGTTACAGGGAACTTTGATATAATATATCTTGTTTGATCTGAGCTCTTCTTACAGAATTATCCAGGAAAATCTAAGTAATATTCCTTATGAATGATATCTCGAAATATATTGTCGCGTTGAAAAATGGTCGCGAGGAGAGGGTAATAATCATGGCGGGTAAATGTTGGTGACTGCTTTTACTATAAGTGCATCACATGTATTTATATGTAGAAAGCAGTTCGATTTTTTCACTTACAACCGTGTCTGTTCTGCGGGGAGAAGCCGACTCCCGCGCCTTGTAGGATCGCTGGGGTGGGTCTGTCTTGAGTTTTGAACTCTTGGGTCTTCGCTCCGTGTGTGCGCGATTGGGAGCGTCCTTGCCGAACGCGTCATGAAATACCAAGGTGTACATACAGCAGTATCACCCCCCTCTCCCCGCCTTCGCCAGATTCTCCGGGTCAACCTCGTACATCAGAGGTCCCTGATTCTCCGGCAGTTTCAGGAA